TAGCGAGGTATTTAACAGATGCTCTAAAATCCCTACCTCTTGAAGCGAAGATGAGAAATTTTGAAATCCACCGACGACGAAATCACGATCTGCTTAGATTAAAACGATGCCCTCATCACCCTCTAAGATTTGATCTATAGCACTTGGGGTAAAAAAATGGATGTGACTAGATAAAACCTAAGCTTTCAGGTTGAAGAAACCCAAAAATAGAGAAAAAGAAGAGAGAAGAGAGAGAATATCGAGAAAAGTGATCTAAAAAGTGACTTTTATGGACCGATATATGCATAGACCTCTCAAACGACTAAAACACCGCTTGAGCGACTAGACACAATAAGTGATACCGTTTGAGCAAACAAAGTTACTGCTCGAGCACACAATGACACCCTCTCAGAAGTTTTGCAAACAAAGGCTAACCGCTTGAGCGGAAGAAAGTTTGATCGAGCTAAAAACACTACACTCCTAAAAGTTTTGCAGATCTACAAAAGTACTAGCAGTTCGCGAAGATCGCTCGAGCGCAAAAAAGTTCGTTCAAGCGAACAAGTAGAATTTTGGGCAATAACTCCTTTGAAAAATGAACTCCCAACATATTTCAAACGCAACTACAGTGCTCACATAGCCCAATTCAATAGAGAATAAGATGAACAAGAACATGGACAGTTATTAAGGACAAGGAAACCTGAATTCAAAATAATATATGGGTCGGGTCGGGTCTAAACCAGAATCATTATAACTAGTGACATATTTCCGCAACGAATTTTTAAACTGTTGCTAAAAACCAACAATTAGTGACAGTTTTATGAAAATGCCACTAAAAAATAAATAATAGGATTTTGTGGTAATAATTAAAAGTGAACATGATTTTTTGATGCACAAAAAAGTTAGATGGACTTATTGATACACCTATCTTTCTAATAGGATTTTTCAATCAATTCCCTTTTAAATATTGTTAATCAATTATCTTATGGCACTCATTAACTGAACCTAGTTATAATTTCTCCTTTTGCAATCCTATATAATCAGCTTTAATTGACTATTTAAAGCCCCTTCAAATCAATGAATTTTATGGGCCTAACGTAGGGGTGTAAATTTGGCCCGACCCATGTCGGGTAGTGCGGGCACCTGTCAAAATTTGGACCGAGCCGCCCCACAAGCCAAAAAATTAGCACTAGGCCCAGGGGATATTCGGGCCCCGGGCCAGGCCAGCGAACTTGGGCTCTGGCTTAGGTTGGGCCTGGATGAGCTTGAACAATTTTTTTTTTTTAATTTTTAAAATTTTTCCACCAAAAATTACATTGGGCCTTGGGTGGGCCGGGCTCTGAGTGGGACTTGAGCAAGAAGATAAGCTCGGCTTCAAAACACACAGCCCAGGCTAGGCCCAGGTTGGGCTCGAGCCTAGGCCTAGCTAGGCTTAGACGGACTTGGCCCGCCCAGGCTACGGGCAGACTTCGAGCAGCCAACATCCTACGGGTCATTTTTACACCCCTAGCCTAAGGATAACAACACAACCACAATGAAGGCTTGTCTCATTTTAAGTAAATTCTGTTGGCTTTAATTAAGTTTGAAAGAAAGATGAAATTGCTAATGCTAATATACTTGATTCAATTTTTCATCTAAACAGACACATTCTTTTTGGAGCTAAATGTATGCCAATTCAATATAATAACCTCAAAATACCACTCTCGATATGTTGGCAGTGTACTCTTTCTATAACACAAAATACCACTCTCGATATGTTGGCAGTGTACTCTTTCTATAACATTCATTTAGGACGCTAATTATAACGACCCCGGTCTTTTCCCATTTGATTATTGTATCCGGACTATTCCGTAGATTCTGTCATTGTATAATGGTTGTTGTTGTTGTTCCTTATTTTCTCTTTTGGAATTATAGGATGTGTGTTGGGCAGGTTTGTTCGGGTTGGTTGGGTTTAGAAACCTAGTGTTGCTGTCCAGAATTTTGGTTATTCGCTCGAGCGAGGAGTTGGTCGCTCGAGCGAGATGTTGTTTTGGTTCTTCGCTCGAGCCAAATACACCATGGGAATATCATATTAAAAACCTCATGATATTTGCTTCAAAAAAAATAAAACAAAAGAAAGTGAGACAGAGCAACATAAAATGCAATCAAACGGAGAACACTTGAGTCATCAATGACTCACCAGATCAAAATAGATGAAGCACTGTTTAAGAGACATGGGGATGTTGTGCCTTAAGTCACAATAGTCTATTGTGACCCTTCATGGGAGTCAATACTAAGCTTATTTCAATAATTTGAACAGTTCATAGGATTCCTCAAGTAGAGTACCAATAAAAAAAATAAAGTTAATTGAACATTTGTAACCACATGATCAGGAACTAAAAAACAGATAGTATATTATAAAAATCATGTTTGCCATTTTTTAAATGTGATATTATTATGTGGCTACAAATGTTTGATTAACCCTATTTTTTAAATAAATGATCTACTTGACGAATCTTGTAATATAAACGGTTCGGATAATCAAAATAGTCCCAACATTGTCCCCTATAGAGTGCTTTTCAGTGGACCTTTTTAGGTGTTTTTGAGCACCAAGATGAGGAAGATAGAAGACTTATGTGAGCTAAGTTGTCAGCAGTGAAGGCAAGTTGGAATTGCTTAGGATGACAATGGGGTGATTTTAATGTCATTATTCCTGATGAGAGGTTAGTATGTGAACCAATAAAGAGGGCTATGCTGAAATTATCTAACATCATTGTAGCAGAAAGAAATAGGTAGTGCACTAAAAAAAAGATATATAAATAAGCCAAATTAAAGGAAAAAATATCAGCAAGTATAAATTAAATAGAGTAAGATAAGGTAAAAAAGAAAAACTAATGCTAGATATTAAATTAAAACAATTTGAATCATACCCTTTCAGGAAGTGGACTTGTGCTTCCTTCCTCTTCAACAGTAGCCATTTTTATGCATTTCTCTCTACTGCCAACTCATCAAGAATAGCAGTCACTTCTCTTACTTTTGCAAGAAAATTGCAAGAGAATTTGTCTCTAAATTTCAATATATCACAGAGATAGACATAATTGGTAATACTAAAAAATAAGTGTAATAAAATAACCAAGTAATTTTTCACTCCTAGCATAAGATGACCCTCCTAGCATCCAAACAAAGCAAAATAATCTCCCTTTTGTAGTAAAGAACTATAGCAGCAGAAAATGTATGGTAGCCATATGACAAGTAGTACCCTGCTTCAAACAAGCAACATCAGTAGCCGGTGGTGCTACACACACCAAACATAGGCATAAAACAAAGAAATACAAATACATGAAAGTAGAAGATGCCAAAAAGCAAACGAAACAGACAAATAGACAACATGGTAAAGGTCAACCATAAGTGGGGAAAAAAAGTCCAAAAAAATGAAATTTTTAAATAACATAGATAGGAATTTATGGAAGTAAACACCCAAAAAGAACAAAGACTACGAACTTTCTGTCAGCTAGTTTATGCTCGAAAGTAGAGATGAACTGCTAGTTCTGAAATGTGAGCTCCTAAATTCGAGAATCACTTTTCAAACACACAACCTGTCATCATTGAATGAAATTTGGAAGACATGTTCTATAAGGACAAGCAAAAAGTAGCAACAGATTTTTTAATTTAACATTTGAATTGAAAAAGAAGAATGTGCAGAGAATAATTATAAGTATGTTCACATAACAAAAAATTAACTAAGTATATACACATAATGAAATTTTTTAAAACTATTCGATAACAACTTAAAATTTAAAATTAACTAACTAAGAACAAAATAGGACTAATAATGCTGAACTGCCAAATATATAAAGCCAAATAATAACATAACAACTAAAACCTTCTTTACCTGCAGAGAACAAAGTGGTTACATAGCCCTTTTGCTATAAGATTCTACAAGCAGATAAGATAAAAACACATCAAAAGGGAAAAAGCATAAAAATGAGAAGAAAAAAAAAAATAATTTATCCTTTTGATTTTCTATTGTTTGGTTGGCATTAAAAATATTTTTTAGAACAAACTTTTTAACAATGAACCAAATATAGATAACACCATTAAAAAAAAAAACAAAACAAAACAAAAGAATACAATAAGATAGGAATTGAATGCAATAAAAAAGCAACCATGAAAGAACTAAACTCAAATACTCGAGAAAATGTTCAAATCTAAGGAGAAATACACCATGGGAATATCATATTAAAAAACTCATGATATTTGCTTCAAACAAAATAAAACAAAAGAAAGTGAGACAGAGCAACATAAAATGAAATCAAACGGAGAACACTTGAGTCATCAATGACTCACCAGATCAAAATAGATGAAGCACTGTTTAAGAGACTTGGGGATGTTGTGCCTTAAGTCACAATAGTCTATTGTGACCCTTCATGGGAGTCAATACTAAGCTTATTTCAATAATTTGAACAGTTCATAGGATTCCTCAAGTAGAGTACCAATAAAAAAAATAAAGTTAATTGAACATTTGTAACCACATGATCAGGAACTAAAAAACAGATAGTATATTATAAAAATCATGTTTGCCATTTTTTAAATGTGATATTATTATGTGGCTACAAATGTTTGATTAACCCTATTTTTTAAATAAATGATCTACTTGACGAATCCTGTAATATAAACGGTTCGGATAATCAAAATAGTCCCAACATTGTCCCCTATAGAGTGCGTTTCAGTGGACCTTTTTAGGTGTTTTTGAGCACCAAGATGAGGAAGATAGAAGACTTATGTGAGCTGAGTTGTCAGCAGTGAAGGTAAGTTGGAATTGCTTAGGATGACAATGGGGTGATTTTAATGTCATTATTCCTGATGAGAGGTTAGTATGTGAACCAATAAAGAGGGCTATGCTGAAATTATCTAACATCATTGTAGCAGAAAGAAATAGGTAGTGCACTAAAAATAAGATATATAAATAAGCCAAATTAAAGGAAAAAATATCAGCAAGTATAAATTAAATAGAGTAAGATAAGGTAAAAAAGAAAAACTAATGCTAGATATTAAATTAAAACAATTTGAATCATACCCTTTCAGGAAGTGGACTTGTGCTTCCTTCCTCTTCAACAGTAGCCATTTTTATGCATTTCTCTCTACTGCCAACTCATCAAGAATAGCAGTCACTTCTCTTACTGTTGCAAGAAAATTGCAAGAGAATTTGTCTCTAAATTTCAATATATCACAGAGATAGACATAATTGGTAATACTAAAAAATAAGTGTAATAAAATAACCAAGTAATTTTTCACTCCTAGCATAAGATGACCCTCCCAGCATCCAAACAAAGCAAAATAATCTCCCTTTTGTAGTAAAGAACTATAGCAGCAGAAAATGTATGGTAGCCATATGACAAGTAGTACCCTGCTTCAAACAAGCAACATCAGTAGCCGGTGGTGCTACACACACCAAACATAGGCATAAAACAAAGAAATACAAATACATGAAAGTAGAAGATGCCAAAAAGCAAACGAAATAGATAAATAGACAACATGGTAAAGGTCAACCATAAGTGGGGAAAAAAAAATGAAATTTTTAAATAACATAGATAGGAATTTATGGAAGTAAACACCCAAAAAGAACAAAGACTACGAACTTTCTATCAGCTAGTTTATGCTCGAAAGTAGAGATGAACTGCTAGTTCTGAAATGTGAGCTCCTAAATTCGAGAATCACTTTTCAAACACACAACCTGTCATCATTGAATGAAATTTGGAAGACATGTTCTATAAGGACAAGCAAAAAGTAGCAACAGATTTTTTAATTTAACATTTGAATTGAAAAAGAAGAATGTGCAGAGAATAATTATAAGTATGTTCACATAACAAAAAATTAACTAAGTATATACACATAATGAAAAATTTTAAAACTATTCGATAACAACTTAAAATTTAAAATTAACTAACTAAGAACAAAATAGGACTAATAATGCTGAACTGCCAAATATATAAAGCCAAATAATAACATAACAACTAAAATCTTCTTTACCTGCAGAGAACAAAGTGGTTACATAGCCCTGTTGCTATAAGATTCTACAAGCAGATAAAATAAAAACACATCAAAAGGGAAAAAGCACAAAAATGAGAAGAAAAAAAAATGAAAAAAAAAAGAGACCAACATAAGGAACAACAACAACAACAATTATACAATGATAGAATCTACGGAACAGTCCGGATACAATAATCAAATGGGAAAAGACTGGGGTCGCTATACTACCTTAAAATAAACAAGACCAAAAAAACTCCTAATATTAAGCACAAAATCCCAAAGACCTTAGCTCAGAATATGATCAACCAAGTTAATTGTTATCTCAAATTGTAAGCCAAATTGTAGAATAAAAATGACAAAAAAAAAAAAACTAATGGGAAAGAAATACCAAGAGACAAATATAATCTACCAAAAATACATAACAAACCTGAAAACACCATTGTGTAAGACCCCTCAAGAACCTAGAGTTCCCTTAAGGGTTCTCTAATTTTAGATTCAAGAAATTAAATTTTTTTAGATAGAATAAACATCATCAAAACCATTTCATTCTTCTTTTCCACTTATCAAATCCATTTCCGAAATCAATAACAAATCTAAGAAATCAACAGCAATTTTTACCCAGGAAATCATATATATATATAATAGGAACAAATGAGAATGATGATGAAAAAAGTTCACAACAAACCCTAAATCATCAAACCCATAAAACTAAATAAATCAAAGCACTTATCAAACTCATTTAACAAATCAACAACAAATCAAACCATGACAAGAAATCATATATATATACATATATCAGTAACAAATCAAAATGAAGATGAAAGGGACCTTGTCGGTCGTCACCTTCCCTTGCCTTGCTGCCGCCTCCCCTCGCCTAGTTGCGGAGTCACATCGCCTTCGTTTCCACGTCGTTAGGTCTTAGCGTCTCTTTCAAAGACGGGTTGGGTTAGGGTTATGAAACAAATGAGAGAGAGGAAACGGGGCTGAAAATTAAAGGGAAAAAAATACAAAACGATTAAGAGAGAGGGAGAAAGAGAGAGAGAGATGAGCGCAACTGAGAAGAAGAAAAAAGGGAGAAATTTTTGGGGGAATTTCGGAAATAATTTGTTAGTTTTTTTTGTTTTGTTTATTGCATACATAGCAAACAGGTGGGTTTGAACGAGTCAAAATAGGTTTTGTATTAAAAATTTGTTTCAGTTTTTGAAAATTATTTTTTGAGTTTTTAATTAGTATTTTTTTATTTTTAGTGAAAATTTTCAATATTTTAATCAATTAAAAAAAATTATTAAAATATTAAAAAAGTTCACTAAAAATTTAAAAAATAAGGATTGAAACTTGAAAAATAGTTTTCGAAAACTGAAACTAAACGAAATCGATTCAAACTCACTTATTTAATAAATGGGTTTAAATGGGTTTGGTAGAGCTGGAGTGCAAGTGGTCGTAGTGGAGGAGTGGTGGTGGTAATGGAGCAGCGGCAGTGGAAGTGGAGTAGCAGCAACGGTAGTGGTAAAGTAAGGTAGTAGTGGTGGAAGAAAGATGGTAACGGTGGCGGTGGTAATGGTAATGATGGGGCAGTGGTACTGGTGGTGGTGGTGGTGGTGGTAGTGGAGAGGTGATGGTGGTAGTGGTGGTGATGTAGTGGCGGGGGCGGCGTTAGTGGTCGAGTAGCAGCAGTGGTGGTAATAGTGGTGGTGCAAAGTTGATAGTGGTGGTGGTAAAGTGGCCACGATGGTAGTGGTGGTGGAAGAGAGTTAGTGGCGACAGTGGTAGAGTGGTGATGGCGGTGATGGAAGATTGGTGGTGGTAGTATTGATAGTGGTGGTGGTAGTATTGATCGCAGTGGTGGAGTGACAACGATAGTGGAGTAGTGGCGAGAGAGAGAGAGAGACAAAGTGGTCGCTAAAAGTGCATTTTCTTGTAGTGGATTGATAAATCGAGAGGGAGCTTGGTAAATAGAGAAGAGGGCAGGGAGAGAGTGAGTAAGGCGAACACAGTGAAAGAGGGAGAGAGAGAAGAGAGAGAGAGAGAGAAAGAGAGAGAGAGAGAGCAAGAGAGAGAGACAGAGACAGAGAGACAGGGAGATGAAAAAATGGTGAAAAGAGAAATGTTATATCAGAAGAGTAAGAAGACGTTTTTTTTTTAAAAAAATTTTTGCGACAGAAAAATACCATTGCATTTATTCAAACCATTTTGTGACTGTATATATATGAAGCCGTCTCAAAGCCACAAAATTTTTTTTTAACTTTTTTTTATTTTTTTATTTTTTTGCAACGGTACCTGTTATAGTCACGAAAAAATCACTTTTATTTATTTATTTTTTTTGTGTGACTAGAGCTGGTATTTTCGCAAAAAACTCTATTTTTTTCGCGACAACAATCTCTGTTCTTGCAAATACTCTCATTTTTTTGTGACGGCATTTTCTCCTGTTGTAAATACTCTATTTTTTCGCAACAGCAAATTGTGCCATCGCAAAAACTCACCTTTTTCGCGACAGCAAATTGTGCCGTCGCAAAAAGTCACTTTTTGAGATAGCAAGTGTGCTGTCGCAAATGCTTCCGTCTTTTAAGCCCACTTTGCTTGTAATGTATTAAAAAACCTCATGATATTTGCTTCAAACAAAACAAAATAAAAGGAAGTGACATAGAACAACATAAAATGCAATGAAACGAAGAAGACTTGAGTCGTCGGTGACTCACCAGATTGAAATAGATGAAACACTGTTCAAGAGACTTGGGGATGTTGTTGTGCCTTTAGTCACAACAGTCTATTGTGGCCCTTCATGGGAGTCTATTATCAAAATCATTTTTGCCATTTGTTTTTGTTTTTGTTTTAATGTGATTTTGTTATGTGGCTACAAATGTTTGATTAACCTCATTTTTTAATAAATGATCTGCTCGACGAATCTGTTAGAATAGGAGAGAGAGAGAGAGAGAGAGAGAGAGAGAGAGAGACAATAATATGTATTGTATTCAATGAATTTATCCTATATAATAAAAGGCCTATATATATATATAGGTTGAGAAAGAGTATCCTACTAGAAACATAACTATGAGAAAGAGTATTTTACAAGAAACCTACCTATGGCGATACAAATATATCTAGGAAATTAATACCTAATATATCTAGGAATATATGCCATATATACATTAACACCCCCCTCCCTTTAAACTCAAGGAGTATAAACATCTTGAGTTTGGAGAGAGAAACTAAAACATGAAATAAAACTAAATAAAATAAAAGGCAAATAGATTACAAAGTCTGTAGGAGAGCGCAAGGGCGTTTGAGATAGATCAGAGGCCAGAACTGATGATGGGGAAACCGTTTATGTCATGTCGGACTGTGTTTGAGATAAATTAGAGGCCAGAACTAATGCTGAGAGACAATTTATGGTCATGCCGGACCATTGTAGGAATTGATTGGAATCAATGCCGGAACAATTTACGGGGTCATGCCGAACCGTTGTAGAGATTGGATGTTGAACGAGTAAGCGTGGCACACACATAACTTATGACATGGTGCTGAACGATGATGGCAACAAATGATTGAGTGTGCCAGGGATGGCTTGGATAGTGCGCCAGGGGGCGACTTTGGTGGTGCACCATGGAGACGGCTTAGAGAGTGCACCAAAAGAAGGCAGCTTAGGAAGTGTGCTAAGGAGACGGCTTAGGTAATGCGCCAATGAGATGGCTTAGAGAGTGCGCCAATGAGATGGCTTAGGGAGTGCACTGAGGAGGTGGCTTAGGTGGTTTGTATGGTGTATAACCATGTTCACCATGAGATAGGTATAATACCCCCCTTCCCCACAAACTCAAATAGGTTGAAGATAGAAGCCTATTTGAGATTGAAGTAGAGGAAAAGACAGAGTGGACTAGAAGCGCACACACACACACAAAAAAAAACACACACAAAAAAGGATTACGAGTAAAAAAAAAATATGATGGAGATATTTGAGGTAGGAATAAACCAGTGGACAAAGAAAGAGATCACCATGACGCGATACTGACAGGAAAATGTGACAACGGAATAGATTAAGGTCCCACAGGCGATCAAGACAAGGCTGCTGCCCACTAGTGAAGCAAAATTACTAGGTGCTTAACCTAACTCTGATACCATGTTAGAATAATAGAGAGAGAGAGAGAGAGAGAGAGAGAGAGAGAGAGAAAATAATATGTATTGTATTCAATGAATTTATCCTATATAATAGAAGGCCTGTATGTATAGACTGAGAAAGAGTATCCAATAAAATAACCAAGTAATTTTTCACTCCTAGCATAAGATGACCCTCCCAGCATCCAAACAAAGCAAAATAATCTCCCTTTTGTAGTAAAGAACTATAGCAGCAGAAAATGTATGGTAGCCATATGACAAGTAGTACCCTGCTTCAAACAAGCAACATCAGTAGCCGGTGGTGCTACACACACCAAACATAGGCATAAAACAAAGAAATACAAATACATGAAAGTAGAAGATGCCAAAAAGCAAACGAAACAGACAAATAGACAACATGGTAAAGGTCAACCATAAGTGGGGAAAAAAAGTCCAAAAAAATGAAATTTTTAAATAACATAGATAGGAATTTATGGAAGTAAACACCCAAAAAGAACAAAGACTACGAACTTTCTGTCAGCTAGTTTATGCTCGAAAGTAGAGATGAACTGCTAGTTCTGAAATGTGAGCTCCTAAATTCGAGAATCACTTTTCAAACACACAACCTGTCATCATTGAATGAAATTTGGAAGACATGTTCTATAAGGACAAGCAAAAAGTAGCAACAGATTTTTTAATTTAACATTTGAATTGAAAAAGAAGAATGTGCAGAGAATAATTATAAGTATGTTCACATAACAAAAAATTAACTAAGTATATACACATAATGAAAAATTTTAAAACTATTCGATAACAACTTAAAATTTAAAATTAACTAACTAAGAACAAAATAGGACTAATAATGCTGAACTGCCAAATATATAAAGCCAAATAATAACATAACAACTAAAATCTTCTTTACCTGCAGAGAACAAAGTGGTTACATAGCCCTGTTGCTATAAGATTCTACAAGCAGATAAGATAAAAACACATCAAAAGGGAAAAAGCATAAAAATGAGAAGAAAAAAAAATGAAAAAAAAAAGAGACCAACAAACATAGTGAAAAAATTTAATACCATTTCCCCCCTAAACAAACATTAACAAAATAACAATACAAGAAAATAGTGCACTACCTTAAAATAAACAAGACCAAAAAAACTCCTAATATTAAGCACAAAATCCCAAAGACCTTAGCTCAGAATATGATCAACCAAGTTAATTGTTATCTCAAATTGTAAGCCAAATTGTAGAATAAAAATAAAAAAAAAAAAAAAACTAATGGGAAAGAAATACCAAGAGACAAATATAATCTACCAAAAATACATAACAAACCTGAAAACACCATTGTGTAAGACCCCTCAAGAACCTAGAGTTCCCTTAAGGGTTCTCTAATTTTAGATTCAAGAAATTAAATTTTTTTAGATAGAATAAACATCATCAAAACCATTTCATTCTTCTTTTCCACTTATCAAATCCATTTCCGAAATCAATAACAAATCTAAGAAATCAACAGCAATTTTTACCCAGGAAATCATATATATATATAATAGGAACAAATGAGAATGATGATGAAAAAAGTTCACAACAAACCCTAAATCATCAAACCCATAAAACTAAATAAATCAAAGCACTTATCAAACTCATTTAACAAATCAACAACAAATCAAACCATGACAAGAAATCATATATATATATATATATATATCAGTAACAAATCAAAATGAAGATGAAAGGGACCTTGTCGGTCGTCGCCTTCCCTGCCTTGCTGCCGCCTCCCCTCGCCTAGCTGCGGAGTCACATCGCCTTCGTTTCCACGTCGTTAGGTCTTAGCGTCTCTTTCAAAGACGGGTTGGGTTAGGGTTATGAAACAAATGAGAGAGAGGAAACGAGGCTGAAAATTAAAGGGAAAAAAATACAAAACGATTAAGAGAGAGGGAGAAAGAGAGAGAGAGAGATGAGCGCAACTGAGAAGAAGAAAAAAGGGAGAAATTTTTGGGGAAATTTCGGAAATAATTTGTTAGTTTTTTTTGTTTTGTTTGTTGCAGACATAGCAAACAGGTGGGTTTGAACGAGTCAAAATAGGTTTTGTATTAAAAATTTGTTTCAATTTTTGAAAATTATTTTTTGAGTTTTTAATTAGTATTTTTTTATTTTTAGTGAAAATTTTCAATATTTTAATCAATTAAAAAAATAATTAAAATATTAAAAAAGTTCACTAAAAATTAAAAAAATAAGGATTGAAACTTGAAAAATAGTTTTCGAAAACTGAAACTAAACGAAATCGATTCAAACTCACTTATTTAATAAATGGGTTTAAATGGGTTTGGTAGAGCTGGAGTGCAAGTGGTCGTAGTGGAGGAGTGGTGGTGGTAATGGAGCAGCGGCAGTGGAAGTGGAGTAGCAGCAACGGTAGTGGTAAAGTAAGGTAGTAGTGGTGGAAGAAAGATGGTAACGGTGGCGGTGGTAATGGTAATGATGGGGCAGTGGTACTGGTGGTGGTGGTGGTGGTGGTAGTGGAGAGGTGATGGTGGTAGTGGTGGTGATGTAATGGCGGGGGCGGCGTTAGTGGTCGAGTAGCAGCAGTGGTGGTAATAGTGGTGGTGTACTACTGAATTTATATTTTTCATGGGTGATACGGCTTTTGCATGAAGTTCAAAGAAGCAACCCATTGTCGCACTTTCCACGTGTGAAGCCGAATATGTTGTTGTGACATCATGTGTTTGTCAAGCTATTTGGCTCAAAAATGTGTTTGTCAACCCATTGTCACATGCCTCAAAAAGAGGAGATTTTCATCAACAACAAATCAGCGTTGGCATTGGCCAAAAATCCGGTGTTCCATAATTGAAACAAGTACATCGACACAAGGTATCATTTCATTAGAGTGTGTACAAAGAAAGAGGTGGAATTCAAGTTTGTGAAGGATGAGGCAGTCATATTCTAGACCTATGAAGCACGGATGTAGGTACGAGTACCGGTACTGGTACGGGTACGATACGGATACGTCAATACGGTAAAATTCAAAAAAAATAGGATATTGGTACTGCTTGGTACGCTTGTAAAAAAATATTTATTTTTAATTTAGAGTAATGCAAAAATTGATTAAATGATTTAATTTGTTAAGATCCAACCTACAATTGACATTTAATGTCAAAAGTAAAAATATAAATCAAAATTAAATGTCAATATATTAAATAACTTACAAATCTTAACATTTAATGTCAAAAGTAAAGGTATAAATCAAAATTAAATATCAATATATTAAATAATTTACAAACCATAGTTTAATTTTAAAATCATGCTAAGTATAAAACTAAAAATAAAAAAGAAGTCTAGTGAAAAGAGTTTTATCTCTGTAATAGAATAAATATTGTTTTAATTGATGTATGGTACGGCTTGGGTATGTACTAAGTACGTCTAGGTACGCAAAAAATTAAGAAGAAAAAAATTTGAGTACGTATTTCATATACCCAGTACGTATGCAGAAGTACCATAAGAGGTACTATACACCGTTAAGTACTTGGTACGGGTACGACATATTTTCGAAGTAACCATGCCTCATAGAACTCAGTTGACCACATCCTAAACTCTAATGTGGCTCAAATCTATGCTATACAGTTTATTTTTTTGTTATTTATTTTTTTTTATAGCTTTTATCTTCGAAAAAATTACCAATCATAGGTATAAATTTTTTAAAACTCTACCCTTCTTATTTAATATATATTTTTTTAGCATTTTAATAATCAATAGAATTATAGAAGAGTTGTAGTGATCTGATTGTTAGAGATTATGCTTCTAGTGAATTTTTTTATTTGGTTTTGATTTAACTACATGATCAGGACATGAAACCTGATGTTAAGCAATAGTTTTTAAGCATAATGCTACAAACATAAATTCACTGTGGACATAGAAAAGTGCAAGTATGATGCGTGCAAACCTTTCGGATATCTTTCTCAGTCAAGTTCTCGGCCATCTTTGCACCTGAAGAAAAGAACCCCCTACCCAGAGGACTGTATGCAACAATCCCAATTCCTAATTCTCTGATTATATCAAAATAACAATGGAAAAGATTAGAAAACATTGGATTCTTGCTTATTGCTTGCAAAACTGACTAGTTAACATAACAACAGTGCCTCTACCTCTCACCTGCAAGTAGGAATGATTTCTTCCTCTGCATCTCTTGTCCACAAGGACCACTCTAACTGCACTGCTGTTATGGGATGAACAGCATGAGCCCTTCTAATTGTAGAAGTCGAGGCCTCTGAGAGACCTACATACCTTATTTTACCTTCTTCAACCAGTTTCTTGAGTTCTCCCATCTACAAAAATGTTACAAAAGGATTACCAAATGCACACTACTGCTCTTCAGAGAAAATTCAGCTATTAAAGCAATCTGTTGGTTGTTAAAAGGGTGACCCAGACCTGCCCTGCTACATAAGACTTCTGCTAAAGTCGGGTCTAAAAAGGATAAAGATATTTACACAACTTTACTTAATTTTGGGAGGGATTATTTATGTAACATGTTAAATCACAACCACCAGAGACAAAATTAGCTCTACTACAATCTATAAATTTCAATGCTCTGTTTCTATATATTTTTTGAATTTTCTATAAATTGGTATATTCACTCCCTACTCTTTCCCAAAAAAAAAAAAAAAAAAAAAAAAAATTTTTTTGAACCATTTCTTGAAATTCAAAGACAATCAGGTTAAGATATCTAGGAATTTAAAAAGCAGCCGTTAATCTATTTTGAATTGTACAATTTATTTGACAACCTCCCATATGGGCATTTGGTTAAGATCCCTATTTCTTTCTCAGCTCGGAGCACATAAAATTGTCATTGAACCGAACACAAATGTAAGGCAAATAGATGGGCCTATGACAAGTCAACAATGTTGCACTTGATCTTAGCCCAAAGGCCGAGACTGCAGATCAAGATAACTAGGAAAACTCTACCATATATATCTTGTTACATTATTTTTTTTAATAAATATTACTAATTTTTGTAATAATTGTCATACAATATTTTTGGTAGAGTTGGGACAATTTTTTATTTTTATAATAAAATTACAACAATTTGTGATACAAACGACTTCTAGGTTGAAATGTTACTTAACAATTTGAAATATAATATAATCTATTACTGGCTAATAATATTTCAATGAAAAAAAGCAAAACACTAAAAAAAATAAGTAATCATATCACAAATTGTTACAACTTCACTTTAAAAATTGCAAATTATCATTACTCTACGGGAAAATTGCATAACACTTATAATAAAGATTTATAACATTTAAAAATAAAATAAAAAATATGAAAGGGAGAAGAATGCAGAGGGGGGCAACAAACCGTGATTTCGATGGGGACAGAGGTGTCAATACGATGCTGGTAATAAAGATCAATGCAATTGGTGTCCAGCCTCCTTAGGCTGGCCTCGCAGGCTGCCCTCACATATGCTGGATCCCCATGTACTTCTATATTCCCACTTGCTAAACTAACACCAAACTTGGAACATAATTCAACTCTCTCTCTCATTCCTCCTTTCATAGCCTGCACCCTCATCAAAAAAAAGTCTGAGAAAAGGTTTGACCAGTTCCAATTGAAGTGTCAAATTCTACACGATACAATAACAGTTCAATTTTGACATAAAAAATGAAGTTTACCCAATATATGACAAATACTAAGTTAAATTGGCATTTGGCATGAACTTAACATGCCGAATTTGACATAATCCAGGTTACTACCAAATTTGAAGTCTACCCCATAAAACAATTTCATTTTTAAAAATAAAAGAATAATAAATTTAACAAATCGGGCGAGAAGTTTCTTTGTTATATTGACGCATGTCAATTTTCTGCTCAAGTCTTCAAAAAAAATTTGTCACACTAAATTTTGAATGTTTGAGTGGAGATATTATATATATATATATATATATGAAAGTTATTTTTACAGCATAAATTGTGAACATAAATTACAGCACATAAAGAAAAAGAAAAAGAAAAAAAAAAAAACAAAAACAAAAAAAAGAAAAAGAAAAAGAAAAAGAAGAAACGAAAAAAGAAAGAGATGTAAACAATTTAATAAGCTGCATCAAACAGGGTGAAATAAGCAGACCTTGCCAAGGAGGATTTCATTGGCATAAGGGCCGTAGACGTCGGAGGTGTCGAGGAAGGTGATACCGTGATGGATGGCGTGGTGGATGAGTTTTATCATGTCGGGTTCGGGTTTGCCAGGACCGTAGTAGCCATTGGACATGCTCATGCAGCCCAGTCCCTGTGCTGACACCTCCACTCCAGACCTTGTGATCCCAGCTTCATCCTCCCCACTTTCTCCATTTCCTTTTCTCATCAAACAGGGTGAAATAAGCAGACCTTGCCAAGGAGGATTTCATTGGCATAAGGGCCGTAGACGTCGGAGGTGTCGAGGAAGGTGATACCGTGATGGATGGCGTGGTGGATGAGTTTTATCATGTCGGGTTCGGGTTTGCCAGGACCGTAGTAGCCATTGGACATGCTCATGCAACCCAGTCCCTGTGCTGACACCTCCAGACCTTGTGATCCCAGCTTCATCCTCCCCACTTTCTCCATTTCCTTTTCTCTCTCTCTCTCTCTCTCTCTGTCTTTCTCTCTCTAGATATTGTGAAAGAGCAGTAGTAGTGGCATGGAGATGGTGTGATGATGAGAAATGAACTTATATAGAGAATGAGAAAGGAAGATATGATGAAATCATGGATGATGAGTGCTGGAAAAACTAAAAATGGCAAATTCTAGTGACACTTTTATCAATCCGCCACCCGCCATACGGTTTCTATTTTTCTCTCAAACCGCACCGACCCGCACCGCGCACACCCCTACTTCTAATTAAGGATGAAAATTTTGAACACGATACGCTTTGTTTGAGATAACATGTTGGACTAAAATAGTTATATGGAATAAAATAAGTTATTTTAATTAAATAAGAATCATTTTATTCTTTTCTCATACAAGTTATAAAAATCAAAAAATTTATCCTAAATGAAACTTTTTAGTTCTAGATTAAAATAACTAAAAAAATCAAAAAATAAACCCGCATCCCAAACGAGTTCTATAACTTAAATTGTGCACGAAATCAGTGAGTGATCAGAGTTTAAATATTATACATTTGATCTTTTAAAACACATTTTATTAACTTATTAATTTGTATTAGTTAATAATTTTATATAATTTTATGTATTTTTTTATATATTTTAATATTTATATATAAATTAGTCCAAATAATAGATTTTAAATATTTTACATATTATTTTATTATAAAGTTACATTAAATTACTATACACCCTAGGAAAGACGCACCAAAAGAAAATAAAAGAAAGGAAAAGAGAAAGAAAGAGAGGCGGCCATGCCTCCCACACCCCCTCGTCAACAATCAACAATTATATATATAATAAAATATTTTATTATTATATTATTTATTTATTAGATTTTTTTTATTTGCAGGTTAATTCTTCTATAAAAGGAGAAGAAAGCGGAAGAGAAAGAAGGGGGGAGAAGAAGGGAGATAGCTCAATAGAGAGCTCCAGGCACAGGAGAGGGCTTCGGCCCAGAGTGAGAGAGTTTAATTTATGAATATTAGAGTATGGTAATTTTCTTTTAGGATAGAGATAAAATTTTAATCAAATAATTAGGATAAGTTGTATTTAGTATTTTTAGTTTTGATTTGATTTGGATATAGTTATATAACTCTAGATCTTTTTGTATAATAAATATTTTATTCAAATCATGTTATACAATGATTTTCACTGTTGTATATTAAAATTATTAGATGAGTCATACCTAGTAAGACAGGTCGTGCATCAAACTGTAGTTTAGTGGTGACGGTCCGTGCTAAGTGAAGATGATTTGTGGCTTTCTGATTTTGATATACAAATCTTCTTGACGATGTATTTCTAATCAACTTACATCCAGTATCCAAATCAATAATTTTCTAAAGATTGAGTACAATTACTCCCAATTATAAGGTTAGTGGTGGATTCGAAATCCTAAGATATTTATTTCATTTCGTTTAATTAATTGCTTAATTAATTAGTTTAATTTTCACTCCAAATATTCACAAACAAATCTAAATTTCCAAATTAAATTATTCATCATTAGTTCCTGTGAGTCGACACTTGATCTTAACTGCTATTCTACATAATAGTTATTTTTACTTGACTTTAAATAAAATATTTAAATGTGCAAACCACCATCATATCAATTTGTGGTGTTTGTGTTTTACAAGAATCCCTAGTTAGCCCATAATTTATTTATATGTTTATTGTTTTGAGTTAATTTATTTAGGTTTGTTTTTGAAAATTGGTTAAAAGTTGGCTTTTTAGTTTCTTTTTTTTTTTTTGGCTTTTGTGTCCTTTCGTATGTAAAAAATATATGAGAGGTAATGTGACCCAACGACCCATCCTAGAAAAACAAAAAGAAAAAGGGAAAATAAGAAGGTCCTTATCACACATTGTTATGTGTTTGAGATATGTTCTTACCTTTAAATAAGTTTAGTTTGCTTCCAAGCAGCACACACATAAATATCTATATATATATATATATATATGCTACACAAAAACAGGTTAGCGATATAGTGATAGATGAACTTTAAAGCAAGAATGTATATTCAGATAGAAAAATGCTAGAGGTCCCAAATATTTTACCACATTTCTATAAAATATCTTACATGAATGTAGGACTCACACCATGTGAATTTCATGTAGATGCTACATCATGTGAGACATTTGATAAAAATATTAGTAAAATATTTGGAGTCCCTACTCATTCAAATATCCAAAACATTTGACACAACCTACTGAGAAGCCAATCTCTAAATTAATAGCCCTTGCACCAATTAACCCATAAAACTAA